TCTTCCTTTTGAGAAAGAATGTTTAGTGTCTTAGAATCCATTAAAAAGTTAAGGGCTATCATACCTTTACCAGGACTAGCATTCATTTAACTTTTTTGCTAATATTTACTTATACTTTGCTAATTTGCTTCTGTCGTTTCAAAAATCTTTATTCAAAATGAGGTGAGTCAGCACCCTACAGAGTATAATTATTTACAATAGGTGGAAACTCATAGTATGACTGGTATAAATACAAAAATCTAGACCTAGAAAACCAAATTACATACTAGGAATCAAGATCAAAAATGGGATTAATACCTAATTTACTCTGATTATATACAACTACTTGCATGAATATACTAGGTAAAACAATTCAAGCATTCATTTCCACAAATTAATTTCTAATTGTATATTTTTATCTACTTTATTTGGCTAAAATATAATGTTTTCTGTTGCAAAAAGACAAATATTTGAAATTTTTACATTATTAGATTCACTAATAATATCTCTCCCGCCCTTTTTAAATTTTTTTAATTGTAGACAGACACAATGCCTTTATTTTATTTACTTATTTTTATTTGGTGCTGAGGATTGCCTCACATATGCTGGGCAAGTGCTCTACCACTGAGCTATAACTCCAGCCATCTTTCCCCCCATTTGATTACCCAGATTTTAGTTTTTGCTGACAATTATTCGACAACCTAATAAAAGAGAAGTTTCTAATCTTCCTGAGTTCACGTATAAGTGAATCTCAGTAGTGAATTACAAAACATATACTAGCTTCTTCTTCTTTAAAAAAAAAAAAAATCTGAATAAGATCCCTCCTGGTAGCTTCTGGTACACCTTATCTTAAACTCGATGAGGCATGCAAATAGCAGCTTCAAGATTATATATCAAGAAGATGACACTGTTATTAGAGCTATGGCTTACAAACTAACTAAAAGACTTAAGGCCCTAAGAAAGTCACAGTTCCTCCCCCAAGGTACCACAAAAACCCACTTGTGTCATGCTTTGTTTATACACTGAATAATTCACTATGATTTTTCAGATGTTTTCAGTAGAATTTTAAATTCATTTAAAAGCATTTTTTTAAACCATAACCAATGGTGTGTGTGGGGGTTCATAACAATGTTTTAAAGTTAAAAGGGACCAATTATTTAAAAAGGCAGGGATCTATCACTTCACTGGTTAATAACAAGGTTTTAATGTGAGATGGTCCTAAATATGACACCTGCCTCTATTTTTACTAATAGAAATGACCTTGGGAAAAGCCTTAACTATGGTAAATACAGATCCACTGTGCTCTACATTGGTCAGAACTTTCCTGGAAACCTAAGTCAATTTCCTGTATTCACAAGGTGGGAGGAATAGAACTTGGCCTAGGACTTCTGGGGGAATTTTTAAAATGTCTAACATTTGGGGGGTTATCGGGTAGATTAGAGGGATTAGAGGTTGGGTTCAAATTACACTACTGAAAAATGGCAGAATTAAGAAGTTAAGGAGAAGCAAACTTTGGCTACATTTTAGAGGACTTCCTAATCACAATCATCCTATACTCCAATAGGCTGATTAGGAAGGTAATCATAAGTATTCAAACACAACGACTAAAGCTATAAGACCACCTACCTAGCATTTGGTAGAAAGCACACAACATAGGAAAACATACAACTTCTTTCCCAACTTTAAGACATTGAGGTGACCATAATAGTTCTTGTGCTTTTATAGTTGCCATTTAATTATCATAATAATCCTATAAAATAAGCACCATTTTTAAAAGAGGACAACAGTGAGAACAACTAACTTAAGTTGATCATGGTAACATAATGTGTAAATGGCAAAGCTGACTTTCAAGCCCAATACATCTGACTCATTTTGGGCTCCTTTTCACTGTCTCAGCAGATCTCAACCTTGACTCACAGTAGAATCACCTCTTGAACTTAAAAGAGGAATAACGGTCAATTTAGAAGCACTAGTAAGTTCAAATGGTTGGAAGGTAGCACATTGCTAATACAAACAAATTTGTGAGTTTAAGTGCAGATACAAAGTTCTATCAATGACATAAGAATACAATTATCTTTTATAAGATGGTAAAAATTAAAATTGAAGACATGGTTGACTAACAGCAGCTAGTTTAAAACAGACCTGCTGGGCATAGTAGTGTATGTAATCTAAGCATCTCAGGAGGCTGAAGCAGGAGGATCGAGTTCAGAGCCAGCCTCAGCAATTTAGTGAGGCCCTAAGCTGTTTAGAAAGACCCTAAGCAGTTGAGGAAGTCCCTGTCTTTAAATTAAAATATAAAAAAGGGATGGGGATATGGCTTTATAGTTAACCATCCCTGGCTTCAATTTCTAGTAAAACAAAACAAAACAAAACAAAATAAGACATAATCCTAAATTTAATATAGAACTAATCTTAATCCTATACAAGGATGGTGAGAAGAAGCTAGGTAACAATTGCTAATAGTATTCCTATTTTTGAAAGTATGCATTGGGATTCAGTATTTGTGCTTTTCTTTAAGTCCAATCATATAGTTTTGCCATCAATCAACTATTGATATTACTCAAAAGAACAGCTTATTCTTTAAAGGAAATGCATTGCACATATTTGCAAGGGCTCAAGTATATATATATATATATACATGTGTGTATTTTAAAATATTATAAGGTCCCACCATACTGGAACAATCCATGTAGCAGTAAGTCAATGTGGCCCTAATGTGGCAACTCCATCTAGATCTTCTATATTAATAATTAAGTCCAAACAAAGTACCCTTAATATTTTATTTATCAAAAAAGCCTCAGAGATCTTATTTCTAAAAACTTGATATAAAGTAATAGAAAAAACAATAGCAAATACTATTCACTAACATATATACTAATTTTCACATAACTAAAATTTCTACTAAAAAAATAATCCACATCCAATAATTAAGAAAAACCCATTTCACAAGTTTACTATGGCATTTTGACCCCTGGGAGATAAAATAATAATAATTCTTTTTAATAGAAAGTATTTCATCATCAGCCAGGTGCAGGGGCTTAGGCCTGTACTCTCCAATGACTTGGGAGGCTGAAGCAGGAGGATTGCAAATTCAAGGTCAGTCTCAAAAATTAGCAAAGCCCTAGCAACTTAGTGAGACCCTGTCTCAAACTAAAAAAATAAAACAGGCTGGGGATGTGGCTCAGTGCACTTCTGGGTTCAAACCCTAGTACCAAATAAGAAAGTATTCCATCATCAGATGATGATCATCATCTAAAAATCAGTCAATGAATAGACACAATGTTCTGAGATACAAGCACTTGATAGTAGTGCACAAGCCTAAGAGGTATGTGTAGGAAGAAACCTCAAACTCACTGAGCTCCTTCTTCAAATAAAATTAGGCATAGCCAGATTAAACTAAAGATAAAAATCTCTACTCTTTCTATTCATACTCTTAACAGTGGTCTTCCATCTCATTCTATAAGAAATCCCCATCATCAAGGTGATATGCTAAGATTCTCGAATACATTCTTTTAGGAATATACTGAAGAAAAGGTTTTCAGTGGCCTCTCTTCTAACTAATGCAAAGGAGAAAGAAAATTAGATGGTGTAATTGGATAAGCTTAAAATATTTCAGTTTCTATAAAATCTGTAATGGAAACAGAACAGTAGCTCTAAACAAATTAGAATAATTTAGTTGGGCACAGTAGTGCATGCCTATAATCTCAGCAGCTCAGGAGACTGAGGCAGGAGGCTTTTGAGTTCAAAGACAGCTTCAGTAATTTATCAAGGCCCGAAGCAACTCAGCAAGACCCTGTCTCTCTAAATAAAATATAAAGAAGAGCTGGGGTTGTGGTACAGTGGTTAAGTGCCCCTGGTACCAAAAAACAAACAGAAGTTAGAATAATTTCATTAATTATTTAAATTGTATAAAATAAACATTTTTAAATACAGCTGGGCACAGGGGCACACACCTGTAATCCCAGCAACTTGGGAGGGTGAGGCAGGAGGATCCAAGTTTGAGGCCAGCCTCAGTATTTAGTGAGACTCTGTCTCAAAACAAATAAAAAGGGTTAGGGATGTGGCTCAGTTGTAAAGTGCTTCTGGGTCCAATCCCTAGTACAAAAAAAAAAAATTAAATGCAAAAAAGACAAAGTGTTAACTAGGTCTTACAAATGTTCCAGAATGAGCCAGGCATGGTGGCACGTGCCTTACCCCCAGCTACTCAGGAGGCTGAGGCAATTGATCACAAGTTGGAAACCTGTGTAGGCAAACACTTAGCTATATCTGCCTAAAAATAAAATAAAAGGAACTGGAATATGTACTGTGTACCGTGGTAGAACACTTGTAGAGTATGTACAAGGCCCTGGTACTGCCAAAAAAACAAAAGGTTCCAAAATGACACCATGATTGTATATAATGAAAAAGACTATCTTTTCTAGTACTAATAAAATAATTACTACAGAGGTTAAAGATGAGAAAAGTGAAAGAAGTGCACACAGAGTTCACATTCCTTAATAATACAGGCAGTCCCCAATTTTAGTTCAGCTTAAAAATTCCCAACTTATGGTGTACAAGTGCACCCACACAACCATTCTTTTTCACTCTTAGTACTTAGCACTTATTATAAAATAGGCTTTGTGTTAGATAAGTTTGCCCAACTGTAGCCTAAGTGTTCTCAGCATATTTAAAATAGGCTAAGCTAAGCTATGATGTTCAGGGTGCTAAGTATATAGCATGTTTATATGACCTGGTAGTTTTTCTTTTCTTAGTTCATGAAGCTATAACTTCATCTTAAATCAAGGAGCATCTGTGTATATGATGCCTGGTTATTAATACCAACTTGAGAAACTCACATATACATGTTTGAGAAAAGATAAAAATAAACCAAAAATTTTTACGTTTGAATGATTTCTCCCTTACTCTATTACAGACATTCAATTAGTACTATTATTTTTATAATAAAACTTCAATTAAAAATGCTTGAAGATTATAGCCCATTAGAATGAAAACTGACTTATCTTTGTATATATAATATTTACCTGGTTCCTCCTTAATGATTAGGGTCTTATTTTCTTCTGGATAGGCAACAGGTGGCTGCATCGCTGAGCAATCTTCTAAATTTGTTTCATTATTAGGTGGTATATTATAAATAAATCTCTTTGTAGTTTGGTTTTTCCTCCTTGTTTTGCCAGTGTCTTGAATTCCCTGGGAGACCATGTTATTCCAAATAAATACTTTTGTTTGACCTTGAGATTCATTTTCAGCCAATTCAGGAGAACCATCCTGGACCCAATTACTGTCATTCATTTGGTAGTTTTCTATTTGGCCCTCGTCGACATTACAACCATCATTTTCAATTTTTATATTACTTGCCAAATTGGTAAGATTCCGTGTTGCCCAAAAGCTGGCAATTTTTTGATCCCGTGAAGACAGACCATCTCTATTAACTGGTTTTCTGTTATTGTAGTCCACAACTACAGACTCCGGAGCTTCTGATTTAATGCTTATATTTAAGGCATCTTTAATGAAATTTCGGCAAGTTTGAACAACTTCACTCATTTGAAGGTAGCTGGCCACTGTCATCACTTCAATGGCATTTTGGCTTGTGAGCACCAGGTTACCAGAATACAAGAAGTCCAAGATGACTGAAAAACCTTGAACTGCAGCAATATCTAAATGGGTAGTATTGTTTTGGTTAGGGCTTTCTTTGTTTGAAACGCAATATAAAGTCTTAAAGAAACGGCTGCCTGCAACCAGGATGTTCTTATGAGCTTTAAAGATTTTCCCGCTCACCACAATGCTGACATCACAAAGAATGTCTTTCTTTCTCTGTTCATCTAGTTGTCGAAGAAGTTGATAACAGTAAGAGTTCTCATTTGGCCTACTATTAAAGTCACAGTACCCCTCCTCTGATGGAATTTCTGATTCCTGTAATTGAATAAAAAACATTAATATTACATTTTAAAGTCCTTAACACAAGGAAAACATTTTCATTACCAATGTAAGTTTTTAAAATGTACTAATCAAACAATCTTGTGAGTGATCATCATCCCAAATATTAAAAGGAATGGAGTGAATAGTATGGTGCAACCCATTGATATTAAAAGATAAATGGAACATATCTGAGAGGATCAGCAAGATTTCATTGATTTTTCTTTTCAAATATAAAATAGACATGATTTGAGAATTATTTAAAATTAGAATCAAAACAGCAATTATTTTCTTAAGAAACTTTCATTTATGGAAATCAAAATAGTTTGCTTAATCTCTTAATAGGAAAGCAGCAATCTCCTCTATGACAGAACATAAAACATCCAAGTTATAATACAATGGAAATATCACCTAAGGTCATAAAACTATAAACTGCAAGGTAAGTTAACATTTCTGAATTTAAAAATCTTATAATTTTGCTTATCGATCATATAGGTATTCACTACTGTTCAATTTTGCATTGCTCTAGGTAAATTCCTATACAATAATTAAAATTGTGTGGTTCATTATAAAATATGATCTAATTTCAGAATGCTATTTGTACTATAGTTATTAATCATGTGATCTTGGAAAAGTCACTATCCCTGAGTTGTCTTCTTAAATAACAAAGCAGAACTACAAATGTTAGTTTTAACAACCTTATGACTTTCTTCATTCAATGACTAGGCTGGTAAACTTTCTCCAAGCAGAGCTATAATATCCCTATAATCCTACATAGTGCTTTGCAGTTATTAAACTTTGCTAAATAACTAATCATTTTTTTCCCAAGAAAAAAACTGCTAAGACATTTCTAGTAGAAAGGATGACAGAAGCTGGGCATAATGGTGCATGCCTATAATCCCAACAGCTCAGGAGGCTGAGGCAAGAGGATACAAAGTTCCAAGCCAGCCTCAGCAACTTAGGGAGGCTCTAAGTAACCTATGGACCCAGTCTCAAAAAATAAAAAGGACATGCTGGATATGTGGCTCAGTGGTTAGGCACCCCTGGTTCAATCCCGGGGTGGAGAATAAGGATGACTGAAAAGGCTGACCTTGAGTGTTAAAAATTTTTAAGTGCTAAAATTAAGTGCACAATAAATGAAGCTACACACACAAAATCTATTTTATGAGAATAGAGTAGCCTTACCAATTTCAGGAGACCCTGCCTCAAAAATAAATAATAAAAAGGACTAGAAATGCAGCTAAATGATAAAGCACCCATGGGTTCAATTCCTCATACCACAAACAAAAACAAAAAACAAACTTCATTTAACCCAACTGCAGGTGTGGCAAATATATAGCTTTATGTCTGAAACCTGGTCAAAGGAAGCTATACACAAAATAATAGCAATTCTCTGAAACTAAAACATAGCCCATTTGAGAATTTCTATGCTATTTCCAGGCTTGGGTGGCCAACCAAAAGAAACAAAATATTAGAATTCCAGAACACTTCAATGTTCCATAGGGATAATGGAACTATAAGACTGCTACAAAATGAAGCAATCAGAGTAGAGAATTTCTTTTCATTTTCACTTGACTTTTAGCAGTCTCCCTAACCCCTCTTCATGTCTCAGGTGCATAATGCCATTCTATCACAGCAAATCTCCCCTCTCCCCATGTCCCCCAACATCATACCAAAATGTTCCATGCTCTCAATTAGTATTTCTCTCTCCTACCCTCTCAATCCTCTGTAAAAATAAATAATAAATCAAAAAAATCCATTCATGAGCAAACTTCCAAATTTTTCATTTTTGGGGGGCAGATGAGGGAAAAGAAATGAAGTTAAAGGGTTTTTTTTGTTTGTTTATTTTTGGTGGTGTTGAGGATCAAACCAACAGTCTCATACATACACACAGGCTCCAAGGGGTTGCTTTACTTAACTTAGATCATGTATATAAACTAGTATGGTGTAAAATAGCAAAACATTAAGCAAATAGTAATGAAAATATTTAGTGCTCATGAATATAAAGAACTAAGACAATACTAAAATGCCTATAATAATTACAATTACAGCATAATTTTCAATAAAGCCTCATACTGTTTACTTAATCTCCCCTTTGAGACTATTTGAATGAAATTTTATTAATTTGTCTATGCTCTTTACAGAAAATTCTGAACATGAATAGGAATCTTCTTTTAGTGTAAGCCTGACACTAAACTTTATTATACATGCTGTACCTAGTCAGCAAGCTCATTTGGTTCAAAGTTCTAATAGATATTTCAGTAAAAGCATCAATATTTGAAAGAAACAAAAATTTTAAACACTGAATAAAAATTTGGCAGCACATCCATAAAGTGTTTGTGGAAGCAGCAAATTAACATTTACAAATCAAGTACCACTTAATGTTTAAATAACAAGCAGTTGGAAGCCCTTTGGGAAGTGGTTACATCTAATTGTAACCATCTCCTAGGTTATAGTCAACATGTCCTGTATTTTCTGGATGGGTCCCATCAATTTGTATAAGAGTCTCTGCCTTCATCACACCACAATGTCCTAATTTTTAAAAAATAATTCAGTCAAAAGCTTATGTACCAAATATTTGTCCATTCTATTTTGACATATCAAACTCTATGCAACTGCTATTTTTCTCATTACTACTGTACAAGAATATTAACATTCCCTACTTTTACAAGCAATACCAGCAATTTCTTTTCACTAATTATTAAAGGACTATGCTGTGTTTCAAACAACTTTTAAATATGCCCTTCAAAATGAACTGTTTCCAAGAGTATGTGTACTCTTCAAGGAGATTATTATTTAAAGAATTTGAGCAATACAGCTAAATATGCACATAGTAAAATAAACTGCCAATATTATTTGCTGAACCAAATAAAAGTTAAAATATTCTTAGTACTAGTTAACACAATCTTACAGTAGATTCTTAAAAACTCCAGGTATTGCTCTCTTTGGTTTCTTCAAAGTCCACATGATATTTTGGTGGCAGTAGGTATCGCAGATAGTTTTTAAATATAAAGATGAAGTTTAAATATCTGCACAACTGGTATCTTCAAGCATAGGAATTATCTAAGAAGACTTTAAAGAAATGGACATCCAGACCTAAATATAAAGTCTTAAATTTAATCTGTGAAAAGGCTCAGTAAAATCATTAATTTTAAACTGGATAAGAGCTTAGGATCAGTTCTTCCAAAGTTTAGAGAAATGTCCACTTAAATTTTAACTTATCTTTATTTCCACAGGATGCTAACAAATAAAATTAACACTTTACTCAGAGGAAAAAGCTCTTAAAAGCTTAAAAAAATCCTACTTTACTCATTCATTTAATAATCATTAACAGATTACCTACTTTTAGTCAAAGCCTATGCTTAGAAACAAAATAATTTAGTTTCAAACTTTAAGTTAGTGTTAGTAGAGAGAACCTTTAGGTACTGAAGAAAATAAATAGATGTTATAAGAACAGAGCCAAGGTCTTCTATTCCGGTTTTTATAGGTATTGCAATGTGTTTTGAGAAGAAAGGAGATCTTAGCACACTCAAAGAAGAGTGAATAAGAGGGTGAAGTAGATTCTAAGCAAATAAGACAGCATGAGGGAAAAAAAAATCCTAAAATGGTCAACAGAATCCCCAGAATTCTAGATCCATCCAAAAACTTTAAGGTGCCCGGCTCATCCCCTTATGCAAATATGCACATTTTTTCCAGGGGTAAATGTTCATCATTTTCCTCAGATTTATAAAAGAATCAGATCCCTGAAAGATGAAGAAACTGCCCAGCACAGTGGTACACACCTGTATTCCGGCAATTTGGGAGGCTGAGGCACAAGGATCAAGTTTGAGGCCAGCCTGGGTAATTTAATGAGACTGTGTCTCAAAATTTAAAATTCTTAAAAGGACTGGGATGTAGCTCAGTGGTAGAGTATCTGAGTTCAATCCCCAGTACCACCACACCACCATCACCCCCCACGGACAAAAAAACCCCAAAAGCCTCAAAACTGATCAAGAACCACAGCTATGGAGGGGAGGGTTGTGGCTCAGTGGTAGAGTGCTTGCCTACCACGCATGAGGCACTGGGTTCAATGCTCAGCACCACATAAATGTAAAATTAAGATATTGTGTCCACCTACAACTAAAAAATATTTAAAAAAATAATCACTGCTATGGGAACCTTACAGAGTTTTTAGAATGTAAAGTGTATGTAAATAAAAGCATGGGATATATTTAGACACAGAAACAGAGATAGACACACATATATAAATTAAAGCTGGGGATTGAACCTAGGGCCAGAGTTTTTAGAAACAATATGACAAGACTGAACTGGTAGGCAGAAGATGTGACTGTAGCAGCAATGTGGAGAATTAACATCAAACCAAGTCTGCAGATCCTATGACCAATACTGAATCTACTGTTAATAGTACAATGTACGTACAAGCAACAAGAACCTTAAGTAGGGAAGACAGATATTAATGGAGGGTGGCAGCAATGTGGAGGATTAAATCAAACCTAGTCTGCAGATCCTGTGACCAATACTGAAGCTACTGTTAATAGTACAATGTATGTACAAGCAACAAGAACCTTAACTAGGGAAGACAGATATTAATGGAGAGGGACAGGGAGAACCTAATAAAAAACTGAAAGGTTAAATCAGCAGAAATTTTTAATTTTTTTAGTTGTAAATAGATACAATACTTTTAATTTTATTTTTATATGGTGCTGAGGATCAAAACCAGTGCCTTCCACATGCAAGGCGAGCACTCTACCACTGAGGACAACCTCAGCCCAAATCAGCAGAATTTAAACGATGAAATAAATACACAGGATAAAAAGGCAGGGAGGAAAACCTGTCCTGTCTTTTAGCATTCTAGTTTGAGAAGTTAGATGCCAACTTGTAGAGAAAACAAGACCACTACCTGGTCTCAGCCCTTGTAAGGAACAGAAGGAGAGAAGCTAACTTTTGCTGCAAGTAATACAAACTTCAAACAGCTTAAAATCAATCCATTAGTGAGA